GTAGCATTATGTCATTTAGCACAAAGAATTACCACATTTGCATTACAGACTGAAAAGGTAGATGCTGTAAATGAGCCTATTTTTCCAGTCTGTGATAAACAAATGGGACAAAATGTTACAATGCTTCGACAAGTTTAGTTAGTAAACAAGATATTAAGTCTAATACATGTCCAAGCATAAAAGAAGCAAAAATGTTTCCCCAAGCTTTTGACTCCCATGGTTTTACAAATTTTTTGCTTTGGTTTTTACTCTGATTTTGTATTTTTTGCACGCTATTCGATTTAGAATCCAAAACTACTTGATTACCTTTAATTTTTAACTTTAATCTTAATCTTTTTGTCTGGGTGTTTGAAAGCCAAATTAAACAATAATAAATAACATGAAATAATAAATTAAATACTGTACCATAGTTCCACAGTCATATTGGCTGTGGTGCAAAAAAGGACAATGATGCACATGTACGGGAACAGATAATCAGTAATGATACCTTGAATTTTATTTGCACTCAAGAATGCACAAGACGCTACCATTTTTCATAGAGAACTTTATTGAATATATCTATATATTTATATATGTATATATTTATATATACCTTATATTTTTTGTCTTTACCAATGAGGATCAGTATATTGTATTGTATTGCTTCCCCTTTTCCATATTGTTCCTTCCGTGTATCGGTCTGCTGAGTGGAAATTTACTAGTTTTCCATCTGAAGAGTTTCATGTTCGACTTGTCAGCAGCCTAGGTGTTGGGAAAAGAACCTGGTGACTCACGCTGGCTTTAAAATGGCTTTCACATCAGGACATGAATTGAAAACGAAAGAACGAGATCTCTGCTTTTGAGCACGTTTTCATAAACATTTTGCAGAAAGCAAAACTCCAAGATTAGGACGTGCTCTCGAGTCGATTTAGTTCTGTAACAAAGATGTAATTTGTTGTACTCAAAGATTATTGTGCAAAAACCATAGACAGCACCAACACAGACCACATTTACTTTGCCAGCACTTAGGCTACTGAGCATGTGTCACAGGCAGGCATAAAGCCTTTTCTAGCCCAAAGTTACAGGTGTAGGAACTCTGAAACGATATAACATTAAGAATATCTATACATACCACCACCAAAATAAATAGATTAATATAAAGTCTATCGCTTACAGTTATACACTAGTCAGAACATTAAAAACACTGATTATTAGGCTACGTTGGTAATGTTTAGAAAGTAAAACATCAATTCATTTCCTACAACGAAATGAAGACAAAATGATGACGGAGAGAAATGAGGATCAGGGTTATAGAAGAATAAAATGGAAGGAGAGTAAAATAGTTT